CCTCAGCTGGCACAGGGCAAGGCTGTTGGTCTGGTAGTCCCTCAGCTCTCTTCTCTGTGTTACCTTCCTGTTGCTGTGACTTAAAACATGAAACAAACAAATGAAAACCCTCATGAGCAAGGCAACTCAGGGGAGACAAGGGTTTATTTGGGTTTCCAGTTCCGGATGGGCTCTTATAGCCACCATGGCAGGGAGGGAGAGCAACCCCAACAGGCACAGGAGTCACCACAGCCAACTGGACACTCATCAACCACAAGCATGAAGCAGAGAGACCAAAGGGGAAATGGCATGAGGTTTTAAACTCTCAATCCCCTCCGCTAGTGACTTACTTCCTCCCCAAGGCTGCCCCTCCTAAACCACAAGCAATGTCACCAACTGGGAAGCAGATGTCCAAACACCAGGGTCTATGGGGGGATGTTTCTCACTCAAACCACTGCACTTATAATGTCAGTTTTCACAGAGTCGGGGTAGAGTCTGATAGCTTCCTAGGCAAATACATAATCATTTAACATTAAATTCTGGTAATTTTAAGTTTTCAATAAACTCTAATAATTCATAAAGTAATCTAGAAAAAAATTGTAAGTGGTTAAAAAACAAATCTGTTTTCAAAGAAGTCATTAAATAGCATGTCCATCTTACAAAACTGAATGAACATATTTTGTAGGGGAAAATTATTAAATTATATCATAGTCCTATTTTATAGCAAGTAATTCATGTATCACAGACATCAAAGGGACTCAGAAAACCCAGAGTAACTTTAAATGTTTCTGTTCATGAGAAGATCAGATACACACTGGAAAACACTGGCTAAGCATAGCTTGATTTCATTTTGTATTTTTTAAAGGAAAGGGTCTGTTGTCAAATAACACTTCAAGCAACAGTTGAAAAACATTTTGGGGGCTGGAGAGATGGCTCAGATGTTTAGAGCACTGGCTGCTCGTCCAGAGGTCCTGAGTTCAATTTTCAGAAACCATGTGGTGGCTCACAACCATCTATAATGAGATCTGGTGCCCTCTCCTAGTGTGTAGGCATACATGCAGATATAGCCCTGTATGCACAGTAAATCTTTTAAAACAAAAGAAAAAAACATTTTTGGTAAACATCATTAGGTACAACACTGTGAAGACTCAAATAACTACAGGAAAAATCAACAGAACAATTTTGTAAGACCTCTAACTCGTGGGGTATTTTCCTTTTCTGAAAAGTAAAATACATGTAGAAATGAGGCACAGACGAATCCCTAAAACCTGCATAGAGAGTATGAGGTTTCTTTAGTGTTTATGCTAATAACATCTCCCGGGCATACGTTCCTTTCTAGCGACGCCAGAGAGTGTTTTCTGATTTGACAGCTTCCTCCATTCACCCTTCCAAGCCTATTTATTTTGAGCATCTCTTTTCACAAGGTAAAAGATAAATCCTTGTGATTTTCCAGCAGTCCTCGGGGAAATCTCAAAGTCTGTTTAAGGCTTAATAGATGCTCTGCAAGCTTTATTTAATTTTCTTCTATATCCCACGCCCGATTTGTGGAAAGCAAAAATCAGAAGATGTTGTCAGAGAAGATTTGAACCCTTGATTAAGAGAGGTAATGGGTGCCCAAGACGCAGTGTCTGGTTGCCTATTGAATCAACGTGACAAGAAGTTTAAAAAAACAGACAGAAGGCAGTAGGATTCAAAAGAGTCTTGCTTCTTTTTCATGGAGAAACCTTCCCCCCTCTTCCTTCTTATTCCCCTCTTCTTTAATCATTTCTTTTCCTCCTCTCCCTCCCTTCTTCCTTTTTACATGAAAGGCATTAAGTAAGAACACAGACTGTAACATGGCTGAGGTCAGCCGCGGGATCTTTGTTTTTCAGGCGGATTATACAGAGGAGATAAAGTGACCTGGCTTTCTCAGGACAACGCTGGTTCTCACACGATCTGGAAAATTGTTCTCACAGGCAAACCACAGACTGAGCAGAGGTCCTGAGTTCAATTCTCAGCAACCACATGGTGACTCCCAACCATCTGTTATAGGATATGATATAGGATATGCCCTCTTTTGGCATACAGAACACACACACACAAAATATAAATGAATAAATTAAAAGAAAATGGGGCTGGAGAGATGGCTCAGTGGTTTAGAGCCTTAGCTGCTCTCCCAGAGGTCCTGAGTTCAATTCCCAGCCCCCACATGGCACCTCACAACTATCTGTTATTCCAGTTTCGGGGATCTGTACCGTCACACTGATATACATGCAGGCAAAACACCAATGCACGTAAAAATAAATAAATCTTAAAAAAAAACCAAAAATACCCATAATGATGACTATGACCATGTATGCTAGCCTAAAGAAAATAAACTAAAAAGCCAGCAAAGAAATAAAAAATCATTCATATAGCATTAGTAAGTGAAGACATTAATTAGTAAAGCAAGAAAGTAGCCTATCAGAACTATGAAAATTTAGCAAAACTGTTAATTTTATCTTTTGCAATGTTGGTTGGGGACAGAATCCAGAGCCTTGTTCATGTTAGGCAAATGTCCTGTTAACCGACTAGCACCTTTAATAGCTTATAAAAGATTTTCAAATTTATCGTTAAACCATAGTGAGCAAAAGTGACCTTTGTCCTTTCTGTTCTTTGTGATTCTGTTTACCCTCTGATGACATTTTAATTCTGATTCAGGTCTAAAATACAAGTTCAAAGCTAAATTTTAAATAAATTTAAGATATTACTTAAGGTAACATGGTACAAAGTTATCCTGCTATCTATAGATGAACCTCTTATCTTACCTTAATAGACAGAGTAGTTGCTACCACATAAATAAAAGCTCTTTCAAGTCCTCAGTGATTGCAAAGGGTCCTGAAGCTTTTATTATTTTTGGTGTCTTTTCTAGATTATTTCATCTAAGAAATATAAAAATTTAAAGAGCTTAAATTGTCAGTGTTTGAGGTTATATAATTACTTATTTATCTATAAAAAATTAGAATCAAACCCCAATCTGGTTTGAAATAATGAGAGAACATTTTATAACATTTTCCAGCTATCAGAACAACCAACCAAATCAACAATACTGCCCTGTGCCAGCTATAACTTACCAGAAGTGCAATCTAAACAGCTGGGATTGCTCACAAGGGCAAGACAGATATACAGAAGAACAGAAGAGAATGGAGAACAGAAGCAAAACCCACATCTGATCCTGATGGGAAAATCTTAACGCTTTATTAAAGAAGTTGGAAGAGGATCGAGGAGTGGGAAGGCATTCTGTGTTTGGCCTGGTCATGTAACATGGTAAAGGATTCTATTCCTCCCCGTTCATCTGTAAACTCTATTTACTCCCAAATGATGGCCCTGCTCCACAGTTTACATGGAACAATAATGCGCATGAATAAATGAGTCTTTATAAAGAGTGGTGTGGGGAGAGATTTGTCTTATTAGAGATCAGAATACACCGCCAAGGCAAAGTGAAGTGACCTAGGTTCAGACATGTGGAGGAGTGGGCTGAGCAGGGGAGCCAGAGACAGACCCTTGTGGATGTAGGAAGTTCATGTCCAGTAGACATGGCTGCACAAATCCAAGGGGAAAGGACAGAGAGCAGAGAAGTAGTTCACTAACCGGTGAGAAGAAAATCAGACACCCTTATAATACCCCACCCAGAAGCACATACTGGGTGGACTAAAGGCTTGAATAGAAAGGGCAAAACAAAAAACCTAGGAGCAAAAGGGCGTCTGTTTGAAGACACAAAGGGGTAGACGCAAAACTTGAGAAGCACAAGCCATCAGAGAAAACATGACCCTGACTGCGTATAACGGTTTCTGTGCAACGGATGATGCAGCCACAGGGTGATCCATGACAGGCAACTGACCCGTCTACAACAGGAAGTGAACTCTACCTAGAACACACACAGAACTGATAAAAATAATAACTTTAATCTTAAAAAGACGTCAAGGAAGTAGGTGGTGGCAGTGCACACACTAAATCCCAGCTCTTAGGAGGCATAGCCTGTGAGAGCCAGGCCAGCCTGGTTCTCATAATGAATTAAGGCTATTCAGGGCTATATAGAAAGACACCACATGAAAAACGAAACGTAACAAAAAAGTAAAGGACATAACTTCATACCCACACCAGGACAGAAGAGAAAATTCTAAAATTTCTAAAAAAAAAAAAAAATTAGGGAGCACTGCAGGGAAATATGAACTGGGCAATAAAGATTTAAAATAACTCTCCCCTTTGAGTTCTAATATAGGGAACACAAATATGGGTGACGGCAGGAGCAAAGGGTCTAAAAGGTCTGTGAAGATGTCAGTAAGTGTCACAGGGCTGAGGACAAGAAGTCCAGGAAAGCGGCTGCGCGTCCTCAGATACTGCCCTACCAGCTGGGTTCCCAGAGGTGTCACAACCCCTGGAACTAATGATAACTTTTAACTGGCGCAATTAACTCTTATTTCACAAAATAAGGAGGGGGATAATTCAGATCTCACTTCAGTAGATTAACAAAGTTTATAACATGGCTTTGTGCTGTGGGCTGCCATGTGGCAAAGAGAAGGTTGTTAATCTGAACCATTGCTGTAATGTTTGTTTTTTCCCTTCCAAGACGAGAAAAAGTGTGTTTGATAATCTATAGGTCATTAGGTCATGTCCTGCTCTACCCATAGAAGTCCTTTGTGACTACTGACCACACCACAATTGACTTTTTGTTTTGTTTTGTTTCGTTTTTTCAATACAGGGTTTTTTCTGCAGCTCGCAAGCCTGTCCTGGAACTCACTCTGTAGAACAGGCTGGCCTCATACAGAGATCTGCCTGTCTCTGCCTTCCAAGTTCTGGGAATAAAGGCATGAGCCACCACTTCCAGGGTCACCATACTTGATCTAATTTAATGTCAGTGCAGAGTTTTAAATCATATAAAGAGCTTGGAAATCATCTTCCAGTTGACATGTTACAGACACACAAGGATTGTTTCAGTAAGTATTTTTAAATGATTTGATTTAGTTCAATATAAATTTACACTTTTCTTAATTTTAAACTTTGTGTCAACATTAGCTTATTTGATAAGTAAAAAATGGGAAACCACACCAACTAGAATAAGCTACTTATTTATATTGTGATAATGTGATAAATTAGAGAAGGTTTGTCTTCATTAAAATGAAAGTCAGTTACTTTAGTTGTGGGAATCCAGATTCTTAAAAGGTGTCTGAGCCGGATCTGGGAACATATTCCTGTAATGGCCGCACTCAGTAGGGTTACAGTAAAACTGAGACCAGCCTGGTCTGCACATCCAGCTCCAGCCCAGCCAGAGCTACAAAGGAGACTGTCTCAAACACAAACAAAATTCCTGAGTTAGTTGGAGAGAAAAATAGCACATTGTCATGGCATGCTAAAAAATTTGATGTTTAATTAGCCTACATATTAGGGATTTTATTTAGGCAATTATTCATTTTATAAACCAACCCAATAAAAAGCAACTGTAGTTTTAAAACGTTTCACAGTTTAATTTGTTTACCTCATCAGAACCAGGAATCCATAGACACTCGTTGAGAAGAAGCAGCATTTCCTAATTACAGAGAGAGAGCCACTGGCTTTAATTCCACAATTACAGCCACAGCCTGGGTGACACAGAGACACAGATTAAAAATGAAAGCAAAATACTTTCACTAGCAGTTATGAAAGAGATGTTCTCATTTTCCACAGTAGACATGACATTTTTAATCAATTTGCATTCAAAATTGACAAACGCGTAAGCTACACAAAATAACAAAGCAAAACAAAGACTTAAACCTTCCACTATCTTCTCTATTATGTTTCACCCAGTAGAGGCCATCTTCTGCCAGACTGGCTTCACCATAAAGCTAATACTCAGTTCTTCTGTCTTTGAGAAGATATAACTTCTTGCTTAGACAGCCGAGTTAAAACCAAAGCCAAACAAGACATAAACTGAGAGGGAAAAGTTCCACTGACTCTGAGTCTGCAAGAGCAAAGATTTAGTGCCAGTCAGAATTCTCTCCAAGCCAAGTGAGGGAGGGTGTCTTTCAAGCTGTTCAGGAGACGGACTCCTCTAGGTACATAGTTCCCCCGGATCTGTCAGCTTACAAGGCAAAACACTAAGTATACAAATAAAAAGAGAAGGCTTGGTGAGGATTTCATCTTATCTCATTCATCAATAAAGAAACCTGTGGTGTTTCAAGTGATTTAAGGGAAGATTTAACTTACAGAGGCTTCTATTCCTTACCCCCCCCAAAACTGTTTACATTGTCATGGTAGGGAATCATTTACATAGCTATAAACCAGAAATGTGTACATTATGACCAGTTCTACACTTCCAAGATAGTGTGCAGCTGTTCCCTCAGAACTGGAACATTCTTTTGGGGAATCTTAAGACTCTGGAAATATATAGAACTTATTCGATTCAAGAACCTCAGAAAGCTACAAGTCTCTAAGGCCCCTTTCCAAGGTTGTACGAGCAATGAGCCACTGATGGGGAAGAAGAAACTCAGGCAGCGCTGTCTCCAAGCTGCACAGGTAACTCAGGTAATGCGGCTTCCTTGACTCATCACCTGCAGTGGGTGGGGCTCTCACAGCCGCCTTTGAGCCACTCATGCTCTTGTCAGTAGCCCCTCCCCCATGTTCCTGTAACTCCAAGAAACTCATTGGGTCGTCAAGCTAGACTTTGGTGGAGCCATTCTTTGTCTGCTGCTGGGGCCCTGCTTGGAATAAGTAGACATTTGGGATCATCTTCCTAGGAAACTTCATGCAAAGCAATTGTGACCCAAAGAGATGAACAGAACAAAAGAGGAGTTAGGGAGGACCAGTCACATGGCCCCTGTAATGGGTGGTAAGACATGCACCTGGGGCAGACTCATCCGAAAGTAGAGCATCTATTGGAGAAATCCCAATATGGCTGCCTTTCCTGGTGTGAGATGGCAGGTCTTCTTTCTGTGGTGGTGGTTGCATGCTCTCTACTGCCAGTAATAAGACATGCCACGGAGACGGGGTTGCCCGAGAGTGACACACCCTTGGAGGTACTTCCAGAGTGGCTGTCTTCCTCTGCATAGTACGATAAGGCATGGCTTCTTGATGTATGAGGTCTACCATGTGAGTATGCGCATGACCCCGAACAGACGATAGACCAGAGACTGAATTAGAGTCATGGAAAATAGCGCACACACTGGGCTTGTTCGTGAACAGGCAATAAGAGCAGCTGCGTGGCCTTGGCTGTAGGAGAGAAAACATCCAACCGAAGCTCAGCTGTCTTCTCAGAAGGACCTTGTCTTTCAGGGAGGAACTGCAAGTGGTCTGTGAAGTAGGAGAAGCTTTAGCATAGGAGACCTCAAAGGCCACCCCCACAGTGACACACTTCCTCTAACAAAGCAAAGTCACAACTCCTAATAGTGCCACTCCTTTTGGGGGTCATTTTCTTATGAGGTAGGAGAGGCCCTTGTTGGTGAATCTGAATAATTTAGACCAACATGTAAATAGGTTCATAAAGTGGAGAAGATGAAAGGAAGCCAGAAAACAAAGGAAGAGGAAAAGAAGGCAGAAGCAGGTAGAACTGGGGGAGGGAGGGAGGAAAGGAATGGATCGCAGGATTATCTGAAGCCAGTCACGGAGAGCTTCATGTGGAGCCAAAGTTCCTATGGGGAAATAGAAAACCAAATGCTGTGGTAGTCAGCTCCTGGAAGGCTTTAAAATCTAAACAATGGTTTTCTAAAGGGGTAAAAGAAAGAGTTAAACAACAAGCACAACAGCACAGATTCCAAAAGGTTCATATAGAGGTGGGCGGATACCCCACCAAACTGACCATGTGCCTTTCTACCCTGAAAGAAAGGACACTGGAAGTAGGGATTGTTCACACACACACACACACACACACACACACGCACGCACGCACGCACGCACGCACGCACGCACACACGCACCACTCACTCATGCAGAAATAAATAAATCAGACATTTGTATCACTCTATCCAAGGCTCAGAAAACATCATGAAAATGAGGCAAAAATTAAAAAGCAATCAAAGTAAAAGATAAAGTGCCATGAAGCTGCTTGCTCCAAAATGAAATACTCCTTCCTAGAGGGCCGAGGGAGGCTGGTACTGTGCAGACCACTGATGAAGTTTGCAAGACTTGGTTAGATACGATAGAAAGTTACACGATTCATCAGGCCCCTTCTCCATAATCAATGAAGAGTTGCTGGGGAGAAGAGGCTGTTGAATAGACCTTCCTGAGGGCTCATAGGAACTCTGGTGGTGCAAGAATGCAGTGACGCAATCAATTTTCTTGAGTCATCACCCGCATGGGTGGAGCTTTCCAGTAATGCAGTGTTCTTTGCATCATTCATGTTCCTGTAAACAGCCCCTCGGCTGTGCTCATCTGAGTATTCACCGGACACCAACCTTCAGCAGGATCGCTCCTTTGGTTCATCATCGGTGCCCATGTGGGGTACATAGACATTCGTTTACTTCCCCGCACAACAAAGCCACACAACAACAGACTTGGAAAATAATCCTATTCGGACATACCCAGGTAGGACAAGGACAACCTGAATGACAGGTGAGGCTATTAACCACCCATTAACTTTAACATGCTAGCAAAAAAATGCACAAAAGACGAAAGATCTCATTCATTCACAGAAGCAAAAGCCCTGACAGAGAAAACAGCAGCAAATGAAGGGTGGGAAGACTGGAATGTGGTTGGATGAAGCCCAGAGGTTGTGAAGGAAGCTGATACCAAGAACCAATCCAGTTGCCCACAACACTCCAGAGGAAGCCACTGGTTGCAGCCAGATGTCCCAGCAGCATGGTGACTAACAGCAAAACTAACTAACTAATTAATTAATATTAATTTATTTTTAATTAATATTAAAATAAAAATTTAACTATAAAGCAAAAACAAAGATCAAAGATTACAGATTTTTAAATTAGTTCAGGCAGAAAATGAACTATATCTACTTACTCCTTTTAAGAATCACAAGTTTAGCCGGGCGCTGGTGGTGCACACCTTTAATCCCAGCACTTGGGAGGTAGAGACAGGCAGATCTTTGTGAGTTCGAGGTCAGCCTGGTCTACAAGAGCTAGTTCCAGGCCAGGCTTCAAAGCTTCAGAGAAACCCTGTCTTCAAAAACAAAAACAAAACAAAACAAAAAATCACAGGTTTACTCTCCAAGAAATTATTTAATGGGACTCTGGATTCAAGGACACCAACAGCACTGTCATCTTGGTTTGACGAGCAACCTCAATAGAAATGTAGCAAGGACGGTGAAGAAACAGCTGGATTCAGATGCTTGGCTCCCTCGGAAGAAGTTCACAGCACATTAGAGAGTTTGCAAAGAGACAGACAAAGATGTGGATTAGCTGGAAGCACGTGGGATTTTAAATGTTAGCCATTTTGTGCCTACAAAAATTTGTGGCCATTGATAACACCAGGAAAGGGAGTTGACAAGAATTATTCAGGTCCAGCACAAACACTTTTTCACCAAAATAATAAATGCTGGTTATTGACCTCACCAAAATCGAATTAAAATTATATATAACATCTATACCTGTATATACATGGGAGAGGGTTGGTGGAATAAAAGTATTATATTTTTTTTACATCCACTGACAGTATCAATAGAAAATGTCTAAAACTGGCGTAATGAAGTAATAGAAATTTATTATTTTGAAATGTAGATAGACTTTATATTCTAGAGAAACTACTAAAAATGGAAACGGACACTTCTGAGAGGCAGGAACTCAGGACCTAGAGATATGACAACCCCCCCCATGTAACCTGATTTTTATATAATAACTAAATGCACTGTTTGGAGAAAAATATTGAGAGAGTATTATTTTTTAAAAGCTCACATGCAAACAAGACACTGAGGAAAATATTTCTAAGTTATACATTAAGATTGATTACCTTAGCTGGGTGGTGGTGGTGCATGCCTTTAATTCTAGCACTCAGGCAGATCTCTGAGTTAGAGGCCACCCTGGTATACAGGGAGAGTTCCAGGCCAGCTAGGGCTACATAAAGAAACCCTGTCTCAGTAAATAAATAAATAAATTATATATTGATTTCCTTAATATTTAAAAAACCTTTTAAAATCAATAAAAAGACTAACAACCCACTATGAAATGAAGAAAGGACATAAAGCTACTCACAGAAAAAGGTGAAAACTATTTGAAAACACTTAGGACGTAGAATCAAAGAAATCTGCCCAAACAAAGACAACATTTAGAAATATATCTGACTGGCAAAATGACTTAAACTGATAATATACAGGGCTGTCAAGACTGGGATCAGACCTGTCATGGCAGTCATAAATCAGGAAAGCCTACATGGAAACTACTCTGACGTTTGTTATCGCATGCCCAAAATACTAGTTTAAAATAGACCAGAGTAGCACCGCTCACAATTACAAGCCAGCAACGAAGCAGTCCAATGACCTCCAGCTCCAAGTGGCTAATTTAACTGTGGCACTTGTAAGTTGTGGGTTCTCTGCATAATCAGAGAGAACGCAGATGTTCTCTGCTGTGCTCAGGACAATCTGCCAACAGCTGTTAAGTAAAAGGACAAACATGGGCCCAAGTACTCTGGTCCCTGTGGCAAGACACCTAAAAGAGCAATG